TCCTACCCTGCAGCACATCAACACTCCCAGCCAACTTGGTGTCACCACGGTTCTATGGGGCCCTGGAGTGTCCCAATGGTCTCCATGATTCCATGAGGCCTCCCAGGGTCACAATGTCCCTTTGGTTCCATGGGACCCCTTGGTGTCACAAAGTCCCGTGGATCCTTGGGCCCCGCAGTGTCACAATGGCGCCTTGGTCCCCCAAGGCCCCACAGTGTCACAGTGGATCCTTGGTTCCATGAGGTCTCACAGTGCAGCAATGCTCTCCTTGGTTCCACACTGTCACCACTGGGCCTCTTGGGCACCATGGTGTCAAACATGTTTCCTTCATTCCATGAGTCCCTGAGGTGCAACACTGGCCCCTTGGTTCCATGGGGCCCTGCAGTGTCCCAGTGGCATGGGCCTCATGACACGAGGTCCTGCTCTGTTGCAATGCTCTGCATGGTGCCACAAGGCCCTGCAGTGTCACAGGGGCCTCTTGGTTCCATGAGCCCAAGAAAGAGGTGGCCTCTGGAATAGTAAAATTGATCAACAACCTCAGAGTGGCTGAGGATCCCTCACCATCACAACAGGAATGAACAGGATTGGACACAGATTCCTGGCTGCCCCAGCTTTGGGATGGTCCCTGGACCTGGAGCAGGAGCAGCTCTTGAGGGCCCCAAGGCCAGGGCTGTTGTGCTGGCCTGGGCAGATGGGATGGCAGGAGGGGCTGCAGAGTTCTCAGCACCTCAGGGAGAGGGGAGCAGGGCACCCAGGGAGCCTCCTTTTCCCTTGGCCAAGCACCTTCCCCCATGGCTGAGGTGTTGCCTTCGGTGGCGTGGTGACCTGGTTCACGAACGGCACCGTGACCAACCCTAGGTCGCTCGGTCCATGTGCTCGCAGACTCCAATGTGGTGGATGGCAAATGGCATTTATTGGTAAAAGATACATCATTCTATAGTATGTGTCCATTACATCACTTCCGTCTGCTTACATCATAAACTAAACTCTGCTGGCTATCAGGAGAGGGGCCCTATCTTCCCGTACAGCGTGATATCTTCCGACTGCCAGACCTTAACTAACTACATTTCCCCCCTCCCTATGCACAATTACCTTGGCTAAGACATAACAGTCTTAACGTTCTTAACATCTTAATAATCTTAACATCATAACAATCTTAACCAGATAACAATCTTAACATACTAAAAGCATCCTATTTTTATTCTATGCTTTATAACAATTACAAACTCATATTAAAAGCATAAGGTATGTTAAGCAAGAGATAACCGGGGTGTAACTGGGAATAGCTAAAGGGAATTTCAAACAAGAACATTTTTAAAGCAATTGCTGGCATTCTATCAACATGATGCTAACTTTCTCTAGGCGACTTTTAACAAATGACACAAGCTTATTCAATATACAGGGTCCAAAAATCAATGCTACCACAATCATTATGACCGGTCCTGCTAAGGTAGATATGAGTGGCCAGCCACAGTGAATGGTCAAACCATGATGTAAACCAATTCTGCTGTGCTTCCCGTTCTCTTTTCTGCTTTTCTAATCCTTCTCGTAATCTGGCCGTGGTGTCCCTCACTATTCCTGTGTGATCTGCATATACACAACATTCTTCCCTCAGTGCAATGCATGTCACAATCCGCAAGGTGGGATTCGTGATGTGGTTCTTTTAGCCGGTCTTAGAGTACAAAAGATTATCAGCAAACCAAGGACTTAAACAGCAAAACACACTTTATTGAGTGCTCATCAGCACTAATATGCAATAGAGGGAAAAGAGGAGAAAGCAAAGCCTAAGGAAAAGAGAGTAAGGGGATTATAGCTACCAACGTCAAAGTCCACTCAGCCGTCCAACGATGCAGTCTTCTGTCCATTGGGGAGATCTCAAAGGAAGGTCAGTTTGGGGTGTGATTTTATAGTCTTTTGCAAAGCGAGGGGCGCAGGGCCAAAACCAGAGGAGACTGATTATTGTTGTGTAAAAACACTCGCTTGCGGTGAGACTTCTCCAGGGTCAAGCTGTTCAAGTATAAGCAATTTATTATAAGGGTAAAAAGAGGGGAGACCCGTGTCCGCCACCAGCCTCGGCGTCCATGTGGTCAGGAGGAGGAGGGAGAGAGCGGGCAGAGCAGGGGAGGTTGGAAAAGGGGAGGGAGGGAGTAAGAGGAAAGGGGAGGGAGGGAGTAAGAGCAACAGAGGGAAAGAGGGAAAAACCAGAGGGAGAGAGCAGGAAAGACTAGTGAGAGGGGTAGGAGCAGGGAGAGGGGGCTGAGAGTTAAGAGTGGGGGAGAGGGGTAAAGGGGTAAGAGGTGAGGGAGAGGGGTTCAGAGGTAGGAGAGAATAGTTAAGAGAGCAAAGTTCTTGTTACAATCCAATATATCTTTTTCTATAATGAATATTCTAATTCCCAGTAACCAATCACTATGAGACACACCCAGTAAAGAATTTACATACAGCCTATGAGCTTCCCTATATTAACATACAGTGTTGCATTTTAAATTCTACAAAGCTTTACAAGTTCTTTCCTTGCTTCTTGACCTTTGGACTTTCTATCAGCAGAAGGACATTGTTTTATCAACAGGGATTCTTCTCTAGCTGGCTAGGCTATTGTTCTTTGGTTAACCAGTACTCAGTATCCTATGACTCAAAGCAGACTTTCCTTGCTACTTCGATTCTAGCCTTCATATTTTAGAATCTTCTGCCAAACAATCACATTCATAAGGGTTCCCTGTTTCACCCTCCCCAACAACTGATGATCATTGTGATGAATTCCATTGCGCAGGGGGCAGGTGTAGGGTACAGAGCGATCCATGTCTTGCAAGCCTCTGCTCACCAGCAGGAACGAGAGCCGTGAGTCATGGAGATCCCGTTGTGCAGGTTACCATGCACAAGCCTCTGCTCACCAGCAGGAACGAGAGCAGTGTACCGTGCAACCACCTGCAAACAATCACTTAGCAAACATCCACCTCAGCTAGGCCCAAACCCCCAAAGCAAGTCCCTTGTGATATTCAGGGTCTCAGTCTCTGTCCTTGAGACAGTTGTGAGACAGATGAGGGACTCTTCGGACCATCTCTTACGTGGGTGACAAGGTGGGAGTTGCAGCTGAAGCCTTTCCTACATTCCCAACACTCACAGGCCCATTCCCCACTGTGGATCATCTGGTGGCAGATCAGGCTGTTGCTCTGGCTGAAGTTCTTCCCACACTCCAAGCACTTGTAGGGCTTCTCCCCATCCTGAAGCTGCTCATGGACCACCAGCTCAGAGCCCCAGCTGCATCTCCAGCCGCCTTCCCAACACAGGGTGGGTCTTTCCTCTTCAGAGTACCCTGGACTGGGTTTGGAGCCCCTCTTCCTGTGGGATCTCCAGGGTTTTTCTACCCCATTAGATACTTGTGCCCTGGAGCTGCTCAAAATGGCCGCTTCCATGAGGTTCTGCCGTGGGGATTTGTCCTCCCTGGTCTCCATCCTCAGCTCCTTGTCTGGGGGAGCAAGGACAAGGAGAGGATGGGATTTGCCTCCGTGCCAGAGGGAAGGGGAAGGAGATCCCCCCAGTGCGTCCCCGGCAGGACGGCGTTGGCAGCGGGGTTGTCCTGCAGCCGGGGGCCAGGCTGGGCTGGGAGATGGAGCAGGAGAGAGGGGGAAAGGGGCACTGACTTCCTCCTCACCTGCCTGGGTGTCCTGGGGCATCTTCCTCTTCCTCACAGCCTCCTCCTCCATCCAGTTAAGGTTTGGGAATGGGAAATCCTGGTTTGGGGAAAAATACAATTCATGAGCACATTGGATTAGGGGGTTCCTCCTGCCCAAGTCCATCTCTAGAAATCACAAGTTATCCATAAAAACTTCCAAAACATCAAGGTTCAGCCCTAAAAATGCCTCTCAGGAGTTCTCCATCTCTGGTATCTCCCCTTTGGTGTTCAGGGGTTCCCTCCTGTCCCAGCTGCTGGGAGTCATGCTTGTACTGGGGGGTCCTCCGTCTACTCGATCCCATCCCTCCTCAGGCTGCTGGGAGTGCCAGGAATCCAAAAAGTTCCCCCCATTTCCATCTCCCCACTTAGGGATGCTGGGACCCCCCAGTGTCCCCCCAAGGGGCATTTTCCGCTCAGCTTTGCAGTCCTTAAGTCACAAATATCCCCTCCCCAAAAACCCAACCCAGGAACCTCCCACAATATCTGGGCTGAGTTCCCCCTCTCCAGTCACCTGTGGGATGGGGGTGATGATCCCACTAGTGGGGGACTGTGAATTCCGGGAGTTCTTGACCTCTTGGTTCCTTCTCCTTTCCCTGATCCTCTTTTGTCCCTCCTCTTCCTGTTGAAATGCATTTAAAAAACTATGGTCTGTCCCAAGGGAAGAACTCACCCTTGGTGTTGTATAAGGTCAGTCCCTACCTAACCTCCCTTTGCTTTTCCCTATCCCATTGGCTGTAACCCCCCTGTATCCCCTCACCACCCCTCCCCCAAGTTTAAGAGATAGCACCCGAGGAATCTCAGCCTCTTCCTTGCCCTGGGTGATCCACATGAATAAACCCAGGACCACGTCTCGTAAGTCTGAGCCTTCTTTACCTAAAATATTTTAGGTCCCTGTTGTATATATTTTGAGACCCCTTCCCGCCCGTGTTCTGTGAAGGGCGGACACATCCCCATGGGCGACAAGAATGAAGGGGTTCGTGGAGTATTTACAACATCTTCCTCCCTCTCCTCCCCTTCCATCCCTTTTCTTTCTCCTCCCTAACATCAGCTCCTTCTCCTGCTTCCATTCTTTCTCATTTTCTTTCTTCATCCCTCCTCTTCCATCCCTCCTCCTCCTCCCCCAGGAGCAGTGACACCCTCGGTGCCCCGTTCCCAAACCCCTCACAGCCCACGGCAGGAGCGGGGATGGAGCCGGGACAGGTCGGGATGGGCAGCGCGGGGCTCTCCGCTGCTCCCACCCGCTGGGGACGGGGGGAACCCGGCCCGGGGAAAAGGAGAGGGAAACTGGGAAAACTGGGGGCTGCAGATCCAACCTGGGGCTGGCTGGGGACCCTGGCTGGGGACTGCCAGCCCTTGGGGCTCCTCTGGGGAGATGCGGGAGGGGGGAACACAGAGAGGGCTGGGGGATTCCAGGAGTGGCAGCACTGGCAGGGACTGGTTTGTACTGGGATCATCCTGGCCGTGGCTGGGATTGCACTGGCTGTGTACTGACATCATACTGGGATCATACCGGGAGCAGCTGGGCCCATGCCAGGAGAGACTGCAATCACACTGAGGGAAACTGGGATCATACTGGCAGTGAGTAGGAAACTGCAGGGAGCAATTGAAACCAGGTTGGGGGCAAATGGGATATAATGGCAGTGACTGGGATCATGCTGAGGCTGACTGGGAGCACCTGTGAGCAACTGGGGTCATGCCAGGAGCAACAGGCAGGAACTGGGAGTGACTGGGTGCATGCTGGGGGTAACTGGAAGCAACAGGACTTATACTGGGATGAACTGGAATCATGCAGGAGGTGACTGAGATCATACTGGCAGGGAGTCCAGCTACGCTGAGGCTGACTGGGAGTGGTTGAGAGCTGGAAGGAACTGGGATGGACTGCCCTGTGCTCCCCAGAACACCAGTATCACCCCCATATGTCCCATAAGTCTCCCCCAAACTCTTCAGGATCCCCGAGTGCCCCCTCAGTGACTGTTTGGGACCCCCCAAAGCGTCCCTGGATCCCTGAATGCTCCTGACTCCACAGACGCCTCTTCCAGCCACTGCTGGGAATTCATCTCCCATCATCCCAGAACACAGTTCCACGCCAAAACCTCCTGCCGTGCCCCACGCCCTAAAGAGCCCGGTTAGAGCTCCCCAGGTTCCCCCAAGTGCTCCCGAGCCGTATACATTCGCCCCGAGGACCTGCAGCCACAGCTCGGATGCAAAAGTGTTTCCCAAGTGCCTTCCCGCACCGCCAAACCCGCCTTCCGAGCCACTTCCGGGACTACAGCTCCCATCATGCTCCGCGGCGCCCATAGAGCGCTATTCCAGCCGGGACTTCATCTCCCGTCATGCCCCGCG